AAAACACGCCACACACACGCACACACACGCACACACACGTATACACACGTATATACATGTATATACATGTATGTATATACATATATGTGTGTGTGTGTGTATTTTAAATCTGAATATAAATTTGTGTTTATATCGTTATAGTTAGTTTAAAAAAAAAAATTGAATCAGAAGGTGGGGGAGGGAAGGGGGGAAGGGGGAAGGGGTGGGGTTGTTCGTGTTAAACTAATTAATTACGTCCTTTTTAGGACGTAATTTTTTGTTATTTGAAGCCCCACTCTGGCTTTTGCCAGGGGCCGCAATATAGGCAGGCCATAAAAATGGCCAAATGTCTGAACGCGGTTTCCGGGACCTCTCCACCCTTGTCTCCCCCCCCCTCCCGATCCCTCATCCACATGGTGGCACGTTGTGTCATCGGGTGTTTATCGCTTGTGTGATGTCCTATTGGGGTAGAAAGTCACTCACTCACTCAGAAGGTGTTATATTTACAAAGATATAAAAATTTACCCCCCCCCCCCCCCGCCCCCCACCCCCCCAAAAAAAAACCATGGTTTTGCAACCGCAAGTACAGGGAATATCAAAATCGGAGAACGATATTGTAAAGATTGTTCAGTTTTTTTAATCAGTTCAAAAGTTATGATACGTTTCTGGGTTGGTGTATCACACAAGAGACTCGGCTGCTGAACGAAATTCCACGCACCCGAACATCCTGAGCAGAGCATTTACGATCTGCTCCTGATCTAATTGGTATTAACTAGCAGGGGAAGAACACTCTCCTAGCTCCACCCATCACGTGGCTAGCCTGCCCATGCGTTACCATGACAATGCCCAGGAGTCCATTAGGGCCGCCGAAACATTGGAGCTGAGGCCTCTTGAGGGCCCCCTTCCCAGTTTTCAAGAGCGGGGGGGGGGGGGGTGATGAATGCGCTCTGGCACCCCACACCCCTACATTTTTTTAGGAAGACCGAACCCACCATCCCACTCCGAGAAATGTTACACAAGAGTTAGATGTCCCTGCTCAACATTGTATAATGAATTAATCAGGTAACAGAAAGTGTATTGATCGGCACTCATAGAAAGAAGTAGAAAGATAGAAGAACACACTAGACAACATAAAAATCGAAAGCTATAGTTACCGTGCCGGAAATTGAACCTGTCACCTCCAGACTGCGTCTGCGCCTCGCCATGAATACAAGTGAACTAAGAACATGGTCAACCGTGCACCCCCCCCCCCCCAAAAATGGTGTCTTATTGGCTATGTCTATCGTACAGCTTGAAACTCACAACTGTGGAATACGGACAGAATTCACTGCAACCCATTGAAATGGCACCATAGGTTACATAAAATTATATTTACGAAGCAAATGTCGAATAACAATCACAGCAACAGTTTACGAACACAGTAGGCCTTATTGCTTTGTCTAGAATACACAAACATTTAAGAAAGGTATTTGATTGGTAGGTTCCGGTGTGTATACGTCATTCCTATAAATAAACAGAGAGGGGAACCATTTGAGGCCGTTAAATATTATGAATTAATCAGGTAACAGAAAGTGTATTGATCGGCACTCATAGAAAGAAGTAAAAAGATAGAAGAACACAATAGACAACATAAAAATCGAAAGCTACAGTTACCGTGCCGGGAATCGAACATTGTATATCGCTCTCATTTTAAATATTTCTTCATTTATGTCCTACTTTTTCAAATATATTATTGTTTTATTTCCCATTCATCACATGTTGATGTTAAAGTTAGATGCGTACCCTTTGCATGACGTTGCAGAACCAATCCCAGGATTTTGTGGCTGTTCTGGTTTGGCTTGGCAAATTTACGTCCAGTAGTTTGCCATTGCTTCTGCACGGTCGGCTTCTCTATACCACATGAAGTTTGAAGTTTAAACAAAGGATCAACATCTTGACACACGGGTAGTAACCCATAAGTGCTCCGTTCTTCTTCTAACTCAAGTCTGAGTTCGAAGAAGCTCAGCACAGTGCACAGGCTCTGTAGCACCGGCGAGAATCCTGAAATACTTTGGGTATATTTTTAACTCCAAATTTTGCCCGGACAGCACCGTTACCACTGCTGAAACCAACGCAAGGCGCAAGGTCCGCAGCTGGGATCAAACCTGAAAATAATATGCTATAATGGATAACAATATGCTATTGCACGCTCAAACAATCTTTGCGTCTTTGTGCTCCCTGCTCAGATTATACGGAGTCTGACATTCCCTACTCTGACACATTCAAAATCACCCCAACGATATAGTTTTTTCAGCTCCTAAACTCTGCTTCTTATAGATTTACCTTTACCAATAGAAATGTAATATTTTGACATGTTGTGTATCCGACCACATCCAACAACCTAGTGAAGATGAAACAAGAGAACGACTCCAAGTGTCAAACGACGGGAGAGAAATGCAGTCTGTACCGCGGCTGTTGCGACATTCTCCGCTGTATCGTCAACAGCGGTAGCGCACCCTACTGTGCGTCTCTTAGTGGCGCCGTAGGTATCTCGTCTTGTTTCCGTGTTGAAACCCTGTAAATATATCAATCATACGTCAGCTTTACATTATCATAATCACGAACGACAGTTGAACGTTGCGGCTAGAATGCCTTCATCAGCCTATGACAGAAACAGATAATGATGAAATAAGATGAACAATGCGGCTAGAACGCCTTCATAAGCATTTGGCGCAAACAGTGAATGAAAAAAAAAAAAAAAAAAAAAAAATGCACAAATTATTTATCTCTAGGTTTTAGTCTCTAAAAGAAACAGCAGTAACACGTCTGCACAGTATAAACTCTTGTTCCGTGTCAGGTGTTGACAACTTGTCACACATAATGTCGTCAGTGTGTCTACGACAGGCTTCGGCTTGTGATTGATGTATCACCTATACTGGGTGTAGCCTGCGCGGTACCGGAATCCATAGCCAAGTAATGAGTAATATTACGATAACTTACAATGCATGTCGTAAAAGGCATTGAGGGCCTGTCTGTCTGTCTGTCTATATGTCTGTCTGTCGATATGTCTGTATGTCAGTCTACCTTCTTCTCAAAGTCCATGTGGCGTTGGTAGTCTGTCTATCGAAAACCTCCTGTCTCGTGTATTTTGACACAGACCATCCTACATACCATGATGTCAAACTGCCCAGCATCTTTTCTCTCCATCTCTCTCTGCCTCTCCTCTCCTCCACCCAGCCTACTGAAACGATGAACTCCTGTTTTCTCCTACTAATCACATGACCACAGAATTTAGGCTGTCTCTTTCTGATATGGGAAATCAGTTCTCTTTGTGGGTCAGTTTCTTTTAAGACGTCTTTACTATTCGTTGTATCTGTCTAGAGTATTTTTATTATTCATCTATAAAGCACATCTCTGTAGCATCCTATTTTTCACTAATATACCAACTGGAGCCTCGTTAGCGCTGTCGATAAGAGGCTCGCTTTCAAATGCAGCTTCAACTCCCTGCAACCACGGTCGGTGTTCGAAACCGGGCGGTTCCCAGGGTTCACCCAGCCTCTAGGAAATGGGTACCAGAGTTGACACTCTGGGGTAAATGGAGGTAACGTCGCTGTAGCTACAGAGTAACGTGCTAACGGCGACACAGACGGACAATTCTTATCAGCTGTCCGTTCTGGTGGCAGAGCACTTATGTTTTATAACCGTGTGCAATGACGCTAGTTCACATCTCCCGACTTTACCTTTACCTTTTTTTTTTTACTAATCTACCAACTGTCCGTGATTCACTTCCGTATATTAGGATATGATTTATATAGCTTTTAAGAATTCTCTTTCTTGTCTCAATCGACAAAGAAAGATTGCATTAGATATTCTTCATTTTGTGAAATGCTGTCTTTGCTTGAGCTATTCAACATTTAACTTCTTTAATACATCCTCCATCTGATGTTGAGATTTATCACATTTAATTTGGTGTAGCATTTTTGGAGGTTCAGTTATTTTCGTGTTTACCATTATCTCTGTTTTCATGCTGTTCAACCCGAGTCTCGTGTTTGTCGCTTATGGTTAGAATTATATTCATCATTTCTTGCAGTTGCGTTTCATTTTCATCTACCAAAACCATGTCGTCAGTAGATCACATGTAGTTAACAATATGCCCACCAACATGATGTTCCTGGCATACAATGCATGGATTCTGTCTTCCTATCAAACTATATTCACATATTATTGTACATACACCGTTTACATGCTGAATCACATACCAGATTCAGGCACTAATGATTACTCAAACTTGCTCCACAGAGACAACTGCTGCCCTCCCCGACCCTGTCGATATCTTGTGTTCTCACATCGTTGGTCTGCACCTACACCACTCGGCTTGTCGGATTTTATCACCTGATCTGGAGATAATAAATGGCCACAAAACGGAATCTTCTTGTCTGTTTTATTTGTGAAGACAAAAGCTGTCTCTCTGCTTGCCTGATTGCTTGCTTGCTCGCCTATCTCTTTTTATTTCCCTCTCTTTCTCGTGGCACTCTATTGTATAGTTATCAATCAGGGACTTTTTTAGTTTTTTGTTGCATTGCCTTGCTAGATTATAATGATTACGATGATTATTGTGATCATACATCGATGGAAGTGTTAATGACGACAATGATCACGGCGATGATGAGGATATTGACGCTGAAGAAGATGAGTTTTACGGATACATGAAGACTAACTACTGACACGTTCACTGCTGTTATAGTTTATCAAAACCGCAAGCGACAAAATGACCTGGAGAAACTAGGACACGTAGTGGAAACTTATCAACATTCAAAGAGGGGTAAAGTTTTGCACATTTGACTCCGTTTGTTGCACGTTTGACTCCCTTTGTTGCTCGTTCGACTCCCTTTGTTGCACGTTTGACTCCGTTTGTTGCACATTTGACTCCGTTTGTTGCTCGTTTGACTCCGTTTGTTGCACATTTGACTCCGTTTGTTGCACATTTGACTCCCTTTGTTGCTCGTTTGACTCCCTTTGTTGCACGTTTGACTCCGTTTGTTGCACATTTGACTCCGTTTGTTGCTCGTTTGACTCCGTTTGTTGCACATTTGACTCCGTTTGTTGCACGTTTGACTCCCTTTGTTGCACATTTGACTCCGTTTGTTGCTCGTTTGATTCCGTTTGTTGCACGTTTGACTCCGTTTGTTGCTCGTTTGATTCCGTTTGTTGCACATTTGACTCCGTTTGTTGCACGTTTGATTCCGTTTGTTGCACGTTTGACTCCTTTTGTTGCACAGGTTAACATCGTTTATTCTACGTTTGATCTGTATCAAGTAGGTAATGTGTTTATTTGACACATATTTAAACAGCTGTTAATTTCAGATTTGCCTAATAGTTACGCATACATGGAAATCTAGAATTTTAATTACATCAAAATGTTACATTACAAAGTTATTCACTCTGTATTTTTTCCCCTAATAATTCCTTTCTTCTTCAACTCCTTCCAATTCATCTTATCTCCTACCCCCCCCCCCCCCCGCACCCAGCCAACCTAAACTCCTCATAATAATAGTAAATATTCATCTAAAGAAACAATACGAAAGGCATATTAAATATAACAGCAAGGAATGAGGAAAAGCTGACCAAGGGTTAATGCTTTAGGCTCTCAGTCAAGAGACTGGGATTCGACTCCTAGTTAGAGTGATCAGCATTTTTCGGGAAGCAGAGAAGAATTAAAACCCTACGCAGTTCGTGGCTCACGCTTCTGGCCCCCTGGATCGTTCCCCACCCTCTGCACTCACACCGATACAAGCATCGGTGCATTAAAGACAGTTTACAATAACGAGGGAATTTAGCAACCCTCTATTTTTCTGAAGAGAAGATATAAGGCGAAATCAATGCAGTGGGTAGGCATTCACAATAGAAACCAAAAGTAACAAACAACAATTCGGATAGCTACATTGGGATCATTTGAGGTGACCAGTTTTTGTCTGTGTGTGCATCTCGTATCGTTACCCGCAGAAAACTCTGGTTGCCATTTTACAACACAAGAGAGCAGAAAATACCAGGCAGTTGTGAGGATTAAACCACAGATCAATGTGTGGCAAGTCTGTTGCCTAATCTGAAACCACTAGGCCTCTATGGGTCGATCTATGTGTGTTGTTTGTCCTTTGTCGTGCGCTGAGCCGGCGCGCTCTCTGTAACCGTGTCAGGACGCAGTCTGCCCCACCATATCGTCTTGAGTTTCCTTCCTTTATCACTTATCTACATTCTTATCAGAGCTCTTCTTAAGGGGGCCAAGCTTGTGTGTTGAAGATGGCTGGGCTATTGACAAACTTCGTTAGGTAATTAACTTGTATAGTTGTTTTGTATGTGTGTGTGTGGCATAAAAATCTCATACTAACTGACGGACTAAGTGTGGTCCGTACTTCTGTTGGGAAAGACAGTTCCGGATCAGAAGTGATGAGATGAACCAGCATCTGGAGATGTGCTTTTGATATTTAGAAGAACCAGTAATGACATTATTACAGAAATTGTGGCAGTTAAGATGCGTTACAAAATATTTTTTACAAAGTTATAAAATAATGGAAAAAAAATTAATAATATTTTAGGGGATGCATGTTTTATTGTTTAAAGCAACGAGAATGAAATTACAACGAGAACAGATAATTTCGAATATGGTGGACAGAAACAAAAACTATATATTTTTTTGTTTGTTACCGCCGCGTGTGTTACAAGTTAGCTAATTAATACGATGAGGACATTTTATTGAAATTACACTGGAATAATTGGGAGAATATGGGAAAAAATACTAGGCATGTGAAATTGTCTGTCGTGGGATGTTAATGTGCTCAAAGTACACGTGGATTTTCAGATTTATTTGACCTTGTCTAAGAAGTTTAGATTTCCCATCCACTACCCCAGATTACGTAGTTTCCCTTTTAAAAAAAAAAAATCAGTTAAATAGAGATTTTTAATTTGCATCCGACAGAAAAAAAAAACTCATTCCGTATCAAGGTTCGAACCCGGGTCTGTCGCATAGAAACCAAGCGTACTAATGAGTCGACGAGTGATTTCTTTCTTACTGAAAACAATCACACATGAAGTGGAACTAGATAAGCACGACACAAAGGTGGACGTTGCTACACTTAAGCCACGTATCACATGGATTGAACGAATTCATAAATGAATGGATGGGTGAATAAAACTATGGATAGATGGATGAATGGATAAATAAATATTCAGTTTACTGACGTGTGCTGAAGACTCCAAGCATAATGTGACTGTCACGTGTTGTGGCTATGACGCCAGGGGGCGTGACGAGAAGATAAACACAGCGGGATGCAGCGTGACCTGTTGTTCTAAAGTTGACAGTTTCTTGAGGAGGTTCTCACATACAGGGATCCTCACGTTTCTGCCACGTAACTACCGAGACAATCGTCGTGTACGTAGTCATCATATTCTCTGTAGTATTGCCACCAATTTGATTGTTTTCACTAGGAAAAGAACCGGGAGAGGACAAAAAAGTTTATTTCTGCACGGTTTGGGGATAAGAACAAA